AATATATGCAGAATCACATTCTGAGCTGAGTTACAAATGAGTGTTTCAATGATGCGTTCCTATTATACAAGCCGACAGTAACGTGTTTTCAGAGAGCCTTTTCAAATCTGGATAAAATCATGTCTGGATTCGGATACACAAATTCTTGAATAACAAGAATCCTTGATTCATTTCACAAACAGACCCAATAAGTTGCGTAATTAAAGACGTTCTGGAGTCGTCGCATTCCTTCATTTGAACATTCTAACTGAATTTCACTGATACGAGTATCTGGAGAGTTACCAAATGTTTCAGCATTCTCAAGGAAAGCATGAAATGAAATGTCCTGCGGATGACATCAGAAATCTGACCACTTATATGCCGTCATTTCGGAGTTTCTCTTCCCGACCCAAGGTGCCAACGGATAGGAACGGCGGCAGATTCCTACCCGTATAAGGGTGTATGGCATTCAACAGTAACCCATGTCTATAGATTGGCACGAATCAAAAGAATAAAATCGCCAGTTTTAAATCTGCTACTCACCATCACGCACATCTGCGTTGTGAAGGCTCGGAGGTTAAGCAATGCGAGGCATGGCGGTTTCCTGGACGGGTGACCGTCTGGAAACACCGGAGATCTAACGGCATCGAGCGCCTGGGCGAATGGATGATAGTCAATGAGTGACCATAACTAGATTAAGAGAACATTGGTACGGAAAAACGTAACATAACTTTTTAACAAGATCCACTGGAAGCACAATCCCGGCAGGCTGCAGAGAAACGCATCGCGCTGTCGCGGAGGCAGAAGGAGAAGATTAACGCGCCACCCGGCCGCCATCCATCCATCGCTCGACTCGTGTGGCGTGGCGGGGCGTGGCGTGGCGGGGCGTGGCGGGGCGTGGGGGGGCGTGGCGGGGCGCCGGGTTACCCGTCGCGTTGTCTTTCGCGGCGACTATTAGTTTCCGCGGCGACACGCGACAGCACGCCTCCCGGCGCCCCTAAAGCCCGAGGGGGGAAACCGTGCTCTGCACAGTTGTCCAACTGGCGACCCGCCGTGCCATTCAGTGTGGCCCGCCAAAGGTTATTAGTCAAACGTGGAAGTCCCTTGCATCCTGTAAGGCGAGAATGTTGTGAGTCTAAGGCCTATCGTGCTCTACACCCCTTTATGTAAAAATAGGTTAAGATTGTTTTTGCAAGTAAATTCATAATATCAAAATAATCCCAATATACTGCTTTATGGTACGACCTTCTATCACGCATGATTCCATCCCCCCCCCCGTTTCAGAACAGTCGGGCAAATTGCCGAGATCACTAATACGGGGTCACGTGTGGAAAATATGCCCTGCAACAATATTAATGGTTATAGTTGTGGTTCCTGAGGTCTTGCGAGTTTTAGATACTCCTGCCTAGAGCGTGAGATTGTGTGGCAGAAGGCTTGTGTACGATACAGTACGTCTGTGACTGTCTGTGTGTGTGTATGTGTGTGTGTGTGTGTGTGTGTGTGTGTGTGACAGCATTTTGATGAAGGGGTGAAGAAAGTTACGCGAGCCCGTGATTACGTGTGTGATGGAAGAGCCAATGACGTTGAGGCCAGTGCGGTAAAGAAACGTTTTACACAACAAACTTCTCATGCCGTTGTTTCGATGTTCGCAAATCAATCCCTCTTGCACTGAAGCACACCACACCTCCCAAAGATTAATTCTGCCGTACACTCTGCCCAGCCCAGACATATATTTTTTGCATCTGCCTACGAGTGCGAATGTGCGCGCGCGCTCGCGCAAAAGGCGCACTACACACATCCCGGTGGCAAACTCAAACTAGGCAAGCTCACAAGGTGAGAAGCAATTGAGCGCCTTCGTTCCAAATGCACACATTGGGCGGGCCTCGTTGTTGCACCTCGACCATCCACATCTTGCGCTGTTGCAGCTCGCTTTTGAAGCGAGTCATTAAGTTTAAATAATAATTACTTCTTCAACACAGTGGCCCAAGTCGGTCAGACATTTTTACTACAAAGATGACATTAAAAAACAACAGTTCATTTCCCAGTAAGACAACCAAGGCGAAGATAAAAGTGGACAGTACACAATGCACTTTGCGTGTTTACGTTTAAAAGTACTATTGTAGCATCATCGCGTAACCAGACACAAACCCGGTACATGTTGTTTCAGATAAGGAGATTTGTCTGACACAAAACCGCATAACAACACACATAGTGGACCTCAATGGCGAGAATTATAGTCGGCGTGATTCTCCACAGTAAACAAGGCACACTATGACTCACCAAACCCAGACGCTTAAAGGCCTGCAGCATTTGCTTTAACTGCCAACATTTCTGAAACTACCCATAACCAGTTATCACCGGTCAAATAAACAAGAACTCTACAGCCCACCGTTTCAGATAAGGATAGCATCCACATCGCCCTTGCCATGTGAGCATTCCAAAAGCTAAACACAAATAAACCTACTCACGAAAAATGAGGTTCCATCACTTTTGCACAAGGATATGGCGAGTTTCGGACAATCAAAAGCAGAGACTTTCGGCACATGTGAGGACTACTTTTTTCAGCGCAATCATTTAACATTTCTTAATAAAATGTATCCTTTTACTGAGCGCGCAGCATTCACGGGGAGGGAAATGACGGAAACCCTCCCCCCTTAAAATTGTTCAGTAACTATTCATTTTAACTTCTCACGAAACTTTCAAGAAAACATATTTTCGCATAATCATTAAAACGAATGGCATCGCAGCCTGTCAGTGTGGCCTGCGACATTTTAAGATATCTGTAATACGACACATTAGACCAAACATTTTGAATTTCCTCTCCCAAAATTTGTCTCTGGATCTGACCCTGCTTTACTAAGAATGGCAGTGACAACTACTGGTAATTTCCAATCCATTGTGCGATGTGAAGACTAATCAGAATGTAATTCAACAAGTATTGAAGATAACTTTATTTGAACTCTTCTAACACAACGATAAATAGTTTCTAAGTACTTCCTGCAGAGACGCACGTACCTCAGCCAACGGTAAAATCAACCACTGCAACCACCAAGATCAGATCAGTACGAATCACTGGCAATGTTGAAAACACCTATCACAGCACTGAAGAAATTCATACAATCGGCTAATACTAAGATTTGACCAAAAATCTAAATTCAGTAACTCAGGAAGGGCTGTCAGGGAAGATTTACCGGAACAATTTTTAAGTCGAAAGGGATTCAGTAATAATGAAGACATGAAGTTGAAGACAGAAGCCTTCAGTTGCAGCTAGAAATTAAAACTGCTGCGAATGCGCCTACGTTCGCTGTACCTTCGTCAACAACACTTGCGCTCCTTTTCCCGATAGATGCAAAGGCGAACTCGTTGCCCGCCCAGTGAGGACACGAGTGTCTATCGCTTCTCAGCTGCAGAGCATAAGGTTCTTGGATCCTCCAACGCCCCAAGGGGCGCCCTCCAATCTGTTGCAGGGGTATGCAAAAAGGTCCGAAGTCGGAAGAGCTGTGGAGACGTGATCCACGCGGAGAGTACTGGAAAGCACTGACCTCTATCAGACGTCCTCTCGCGCGGTCCATCTCTCAACTCTTATCAAAATATGGGGGAGTTTTCCTAGAGGCTACTGACTCATCGCACTTCCTTCATTCCGGAGAGAGCAGCCTCCCCCGCCGGCCTGTCTCTCTGTCGCGAACAGACAGCACTCTGAGAGAACCAGCCAGTTTATCTCTGGCCGTATCGACGCGCCTGGCGACCCGGCAACCCGCCAAAGAGCGAGTGCATTTAAATGCCCAGCGCCGCCGCTCCGCGTTACGTCACGAACAAGGGCAGCCGGCGGCGGCAGCGGGTCAACAGCCCGAGCAGCGCAGCGCCTCTGGAAAGGGGCGGGGCCGGAGGCGGCGTGCGAGCGATGAGCACCGCCATCCGGGGGCGGCCGCCCGGCCCCACGCAACACAAGCCCTTGGCGCGGAGCGGAGCGCCTTTAAAGCAGGGGTGCACACACTGGCTCCTTAGCCACTTAACACTTCTTTTTTCTCTTCCTTTCCTTCTTTTTAGTGAGATATCCTTAAAGAGATGTCCAATGCAAACCATTACTACTTCAATTTCCTGGGCAAGAATTAAACAATGAAAAATGATAAGGAGGTCTCACGCGAGGGTCTTGGGCTCGACGTGATTATTTAGATGTGTCAAGAGATTGACCACCGTATTGTCAATAGCAAAATAGCAAGGCACAACTCACACTTCAGATTTTGGTAATTTGGAAATGGAAACATGTGATATGCAATTAGCAGTTAATTCGATAACATTTTCCATTATTTTTTTAATTCTTGATTTGAACTTTTTTTTTAATCAGCGCACTCTTCGCATCTTAATTATACATCTTTAATTCGTTATTGGCAAACATTACGGTGCTCTGATTTTTGGTCCAAAATTTTCAGGCGGACCAAGATCTATTTCGGTATGAGGAAGAGAAGATTACCGATGCGAGTACATCTATGAATCATCGATCATTCATCATTGCCACAGCTCCTCCTCTACTGCCATCGAACAGCAAACGCTAAGAGCGGTTTTCAATGCGCAGTACGCAGTCCAGAAAACATTGTTCGCCAAGCTCGCGAAGTTTTGGCTCCTTCTGTACCAGACGTTGTGCGAGACCTCAGTACACAACAATTAATGAGGGCAATTGAGAGTTCAATCATGTGCACGAGTGTGCTGAATGCCATTAGTGAAGCAAGCCAAGAAGCATAAGCAGAACATAAAGACATAGCTACCACTTTAATGATTGCCACGAAGCCCCACGCCAAGAAGTGCAACGCAATTTTGTTGAGACTGCTCTGAAATTGGCAATTGGCCCGGAAAAATATTTTTACGGGCGGCATTAAACAAAAACAATATCGGTGCATTAATGACGTTAATTAATTAAAATTAAGGTCCAAAATTGGTTCATTAACAACTCCCCATTCAATTACATAATACAAAGATAAGACTCTGACATTTTTGTTAGAGAAATGCGACAGATTTCAAAGCCTCTAGCATCCCATGAGCTCGTTACGTGAGCGGCCCCAGATGGTGTCCGAGGGTTGTGCAACGGGCGCGGCGACTCGTTCCCGGTTGCCCAACGGCGCTCTAACAATAAGGCCGGCGCCCACCTCGGCCGCCGCTGCAACGGGCGCCAGGGCAGGCACTCCCAGGCGCACTCGCACGTCTCATTCGGGGCAAACGTACCGTCTGGGGTCAAGGCAAGTCTCAAAAAGTCACTGAAGAATATATTCGATTCGAATACGTTCATAACAAGATACCATTCGAATACCTTCGCATTTTGGAGAACGGTTTTTATCCCTACGGGAGTGGTTTCTTTCGCGCATATATGACACTTTTCTTAGTAAAAACAGTTGTTTTTTCTTTTATATTTTCCGAAGATGTATTTCTTTATTTAACCAAAACTTACTATTTTTGAGATGTTTCACTTTTCTTGTGCGAATATAATTATTAATAATTACATTACATTTAAAAATAAATTTTCAATTTAATGATAAAGTGTCAATATAGTAAGGACAAAGAAAACGCATACGTGTTTAAGAATAACGCACCCATGATGTTCCAGCCGGCGACGTTCGGCTCGGGTGTGACTTTCGCGAGCTTGCAATATTGGCACACCTTCCGATCTTCGAAATGCGCCTTAGACGGGTTTATCGCTAGACATCGAGGACGAGATTGGGAGACAGGTTTAGGAAAGTAAGGAATTCGCGCGCGCTCCGAACGCGCATAAAAATACGGTTCTGAAATCCAGCTCCCAGTGGTCGGAGAAAAGCCCGGAAATGTGCGAAGCAAGCCGACGGTCTTCAGAATTCTCGAGGTAGCGGCGACGTCCCAGCCAGCCAGTTAGATCGTGTTGATAATCCACCTCCGTCGGCATCGAACCCCGAACTTTCCAGAATACATTATTTCATTAATACAAATCCTCGGACAGTACGGTTTGCAAACATCACTTTGTTAGTGTTAACCATACATGCTCCGGAATGAGATACTATCTGATCTCGTTTCTGTCCAAAATAATGAAATTTATAATTCGAACTGTTCGGACACGACTCAAAAAACCTTTGAACTCTTAAATTTGCTTTTCTTCGGGGCGGGGCGGAGCGGAGCATTGCGGGGCACTGCGGGTCGGAGCGGGGCGGGGCGGAATGGAGCGGAGCGGGGCGTTGAAAGGGGCGGGGGCGGGGAGGGCGGAGCGGGACGGGGCGGGGCGTGGACCGGGGCGGAGATGGGCGGGGCGGGGGCGGGGATGGGCGTGAACGGGGCGCGACGAGGGCGGGTCGCTACGGGCGGGGCGGACGGGGCGGAGCGCAACGGCGCGGGGGGGACGGGGCGGGCGGAATGGAGCGGAGCGGGGCGGAAAGGGGCGGGGCGGGGAGGGCGCAGCGGGACGGGGCGGGGCGTGAACGGGGCGGGGTGTGACGGGGCGGGGATGGGCGGGGCGGGGCGGGGCGGGGGATGGGCGTGACGGGGGTCGCTACCGGCGGGGCGCGAGGGGCGGGGGCGCGACGGGCGGGGCGTGGGGCGGGGCGGGGACGGGGCGGACGGGGCGGGAACGGGGCGGGCGGCGGACGGGCGGGACGGGGCGGGCGGGGCGACGGGGCGGGAGGCGGGATCGGGAGGGCGGGTCGGGCGGGACGCGACGGGGCGGGTCGGGGCGGACGCGACCGGGGCGGGTCCGGGCGGGACGCGACGGGGCGGGCGGGGCGGGACGGGGGCGGGGAGAGGCGGGGACGCGACGGGGCGGGTCGAGGGCGGGACGGGGGGGGCGGGTCGGGGCGGACGGGGCGGGGCAGGGCGGGAACGCGAACGCGAGCGGCGGGGCGGGGGCGGGGCGGGGGCGGGGGAGGGCGGGACGCGGACGCGACGGGGCGGGGCGGGGCGGGGCGGGACGCGAACGCGGGGCGGGGGGGGGCGGGACGGGGGCGGGGCGGTTGGCAGCGCGCGGAACGAGAGCTGATAACGAATATAGCCGCGGCGATGGAACGCGTCCAAGGCGGCGCCTGAAGGTTTCGCCGCTGCCGCGCCGCGTGAATGTGGGCTGCCACTTCCACCGCTATTGTCGCCTTCGTCGCACGATGGTCCAGGTGAAGAAAAACGCGGGCAAAAACACTCCCCTATTTGTTACCGGTTACACACGGTTATCCCACAATCCCGGAGGACTCGCAGCGTTGCGATTTCGTTTCTTGAATTTTTTCTACGATCCAGAAAGTGCATCCAGAAACGAAGTTCCGTAGACCGATAAAAGAATCAAAATCATCACGAAGTAAGAAATGTTTATTGGAATATTTACATAGATTCACTGTCTTCTTCTCAGGGCCTCTCTGTGCACGTAGCTTCAGTAGCCTAAAAGTACAAACTTTTTCGCAACACCATAACGCAACACCAAGCCATAACATCTTTGAATAACACTAACTTTGCAATTAAAGCCTTGTAGACCACGGAGGTTTCAGGTTCGAACAATGGTCATGTGATTTCGGTATAGTTAAAAAAATAGCGATCTAAATATAGGTGGAGACAATGGCGGGATAAGAATTCTGCAGGGCGAGAGCTCTGTGCAGAGGGTTCCGTTGCTTCCTCTGCTAAACTTCGGGTGGCTGCCGAAGCAAAGGAAAGAGCCACGAGGCTTACGATCTTTTCTTCTTCCTGATACTCTAAATCTAGAATTGCACATGAAAGTTAATTTGAAATTACAAAAGTAGTTGAATTTACAAATCTAACCCGCTTATCTGGTTTACTCCCATGATGCACTGACCACAGAACTTCCGTGGCGACCCAGGCTTTGAGTGTTCGTTGTGTCATATGATACGCGATTGACACGACTCTGCAACAAGGTGATATGCAATCGTTTGGGATTGTTTTTACGTGCTTCCCCCCCCCCCTCTGACAAAATTCGCACCGAAAAGGCTGCGATGAGGCCGAAAATCTTTCTGAAGCGAGTTTCTAATGAGTAGACTGCATCTGATATTGACGTCTGAGTCATTTTTGAGAACATTAATGTTGAGGCTTTATGTAAAGTATCACAAAAAATCAAAATATGCGTTTCAAATTCAAAGAACCGCAGAATCAGTCAGATCGACAGGGAATATCACTTTTGGTGGAAATCCTGCGTACGCTTTAACTGTTAAGGTCGCTCAGTTGCACATACGACAGACGTTTTGCCGTAAACCAATTATTCGGTCTCTAAGACAAACAGACCCGTGAATTCTGACTACATACCGGGTAGAGTACGTAATTTACTACGTATTGGAATGCGATTTATCCAGTTTGTATCAGGGCCCCACAACACGACATTTCCTGCCGAAAAATTAGATTTTTCCCCCAACAGTACAATAATTTCTCTACGCTGCTTAACCAGTAAGTGAGAAAGAAGAATCTTAGTCTGTTTTAGAGTCTTTTTACTAAACACAAGTCGTTGTTCGCCGAACGCTGTTGCGTTCCGAAAGGATTGCCGTCTTTCCGACCCAGACGCCTAATGGAAAGCCATGCGTCATGACAACTAAGTCGTCGTCAAGAGGAATTGCTGAGCCACAGTAAAAACTTCTGGTGCTAACAGGACTTTGTGGTCCCGACATAGACGGGATTCTTGGCTTTGCTGGGTAATTTTTACATAACGAATGATGATGTGGATGACGACATACATTGCATTTGTATACCACGTCACAATAACAAGGTCGAAACATCCATTACGCAAAACCCAAGGGGTAGAGTGGTTGCCGCCAAAGTCGTCTAGATTATTACGTTGGCAATAATGACTCAAAGAATATGCTGGTTTTAAGTTCTCCACGAAAATACAAAAGGCATTTTAATTTCAAATTCTGACATTAATAGTCGAGAAAATCATAGTTCCCATGAAACCAAGATAAATACTTATGATCTCTCAAACTTCTCCCACTCTCGTGATGAACATTTTCCCCAAACCATGTGGTTTGAAAGATAAATTCGATCTGTATCATGAAACAACATTCTGATTGGAGTGTTGGCAAATGTTTTATCTTAACATTTTCTTGGAGTCTGTAGATCTACATTGGTTTGCTAAACATTAAACAAAACGTACCTTAATTTTAAATTAATGTGACTTATAATCTCACATTTCAATTAATTTTCCTGTAAAAATGTATTTTTCAACAAGTGAGGGGTTACTAAAGCTGCACTGTTGGTAACGAATATATGGATCCAAAAACGCGGTATTATATATAGAAGAATATTAAATTTTATGCAGGTACACTGCGTTCCTTGAAGTTTTGAAACTCGAGTGAGAGCACACTCCCTGGTCATGAATATTGCTTCTCACTCTTCAAAAGCTAGGAACTGATATCATTATCATCACAGCACAATTACTATAGTGCGTATATAGTATATTTATATAGCACTTGACGTAAATCAGCTGTTGCGGTTTCATCCAATCGCTCAGATGTCGCTAGTGACGTCACTATGGAGAGGTTAAAGATCCCGATTGGAAGGGGACCGGACGCAGAGGATACGTTTTGCGAGAGCGTTCGTAGGCCGAGAAAGGTGCAGTCGCACACTACCTTAAGAGGGCCCTTTAATGTAGACGTTTCATCATTGTATTCTATTCGTCTCGGGATCAGCAGATCACGCGCTCACTTCTCCAAGAGGCGGAACTTCCGTTTCCGCAGTTACGTAAATATACTCGGATGTAAGTATCGAACCATGGGCTTATTACTGGACGATGGACTCAAGGCAGATGAGTTACTAAGCAATTTCTTGCGAGAAACGAGTGATATGTAATAAAATGTTTATAACAGTTTTTTATTCAAGGGATATTTCTCTGTTATTGCATTTACAAAATGACGAGAATAATGATGAAACACCTAGTTTCCATCATTGTCACTGTCGGTGAAGTAAGTTTTCACATATTAAAATTCATATTTCCGCCTTTCGCTCTTGGAAAAAAAAAGGCTTTTGATTATTTTTTCCGGAACCACTTGGCCGTATGCTCTTCGCCCGCCTCTTTCCTGTCGCACTCGTCGAGGCGGCGAAAAGATCGGGAAATTAACCATGGGGATTGCACGGTGAAAACACAAAAGAAAATAAAACGCCGAGTATGAGCTGCTGAATGTAAGAGGGGTGCGAACAGCGAAAAAGCCATCTTCCTTCTCATCGCACCCGCATTTCGTATTCGCATTTTCTCAAAACCTTAGTTCT